CCCAACCTCAGGACCTCTGTGTTGTTCGGGTTTAGTCTCAACCCATTCTTCTGCATCCATTGCAGTACAGTCTCCAGACTGTGCTGAAGGGACAGAATGGTGTCCACTGAGATAGGTGAAAAGGAGATGTAGAGCTGAGTGTCATCAGCATACTGATGGCATAAAGCGCCACACCCCCAGATGCCCCCACCCAGCAGCCTCATATAAATATTAAACAGCATTGGGGAGATGATTGAGCCCTGCAGAACCCTACAGTTGAGACTCCACGGGGCCGAAACACTCTCCCTAATCTGTACTCTCTGAGGACGGTCCTCCAAGAAGGAACAGAGCCAGGCAAGTGCCAGTCCACCAATTCCCAACTCGGAGAGCGTCCCCAGGAGGATACCGTAGTTGATGATACCTAAGGCAGCTGAGATATAGAGGACCAACAAGGACATTTTGCCCCCGTCAGCCTCCCTCAGCAGGTCATCCAATTTCAAAAAAAATACAAATAACTGTCTAAATGTAAAATTCTAAAATTTGTTAGATTGAGACACCAACAATATTTGGAAATGTGTCTATCATTATCCATATTTGACTTGTGCAAGAGATTCTTTATCGCACAGAGACCTCTGACATGAATCACAGTTCTCTGTTGTTGTGTTCCATGTACACTATATACTCTAGATTAAAATATAGTGTAAAATCCAATTGTTTGCCAGGACCTCTGTTCCCACAGGTTAAAGGCCTAGCTGCATCTTCCATGGACTCCTGCCACTACTTTTTCCTTTTTTACCCCTTTTGCACATACCACACAGTCATACAAACCTTGAGCCTGAACTAAAATGAAAACTGCCTTTGCATCAAGTTTTACTTGTGCTTCTTTGGATACAGTGGGGTCTCGACTTACGAACGACCCGACTTGCGAACAATTCGAGTTACGAACCTGCCCTATAGGGAAAGTAAGGACTCGACATGCGAACTTCCCTCGAGTTACGAACAGGGAAAAAAGTCCCCCCTCCCTCCCCTTAGAGGCTTCTGGAGGGGGGAAAGGGTCAGAAACTTAAAAATAAATACTGTACTGTTAAATAAAGTCACTTACCAGGCCTTGGTAGCCCCCAAACCACAGGAAGTATACTATTTATCTAAAAAGTCACACCCAGTGATAATGAGACATTTAACAACCACATATTTTAATACATTTCCACTTCATTTTACAAACAAATTAAACTGAATTTATTTGAATTCAGAAATGTATCAAGTCACATGTCTGATTGCACAGGTTTAAAATTGTTTTCCAGATGTTCTAAAACAGCCTCCATTTCTGCAGCTTCCAACAGTTTGCTGATGAGTTCATCCAGGAGTTCTCTGCCACTTAAAAATTCCTGTCAAGAAATTGGAAAAATAGAAACTTTCTCTGGATTAAGAGGATCAGAGTAAAATGGGATTTCATCAGTAAAAAAGTATCCCATCAGAACACTCAGTTTGCTTTCAGGCACAGTTCACAATATAAATACAAGTATTATTTTTAATAAAGAGGCAGATTGTGACGTAATGGCAGAGCACATTATTTTCATACAAGAGAACCCCTTTAAATTCTTGGCATCTCCTTCAGTTAAAAGGACATCAGGTAGGTAGGCTATGGTGCCAGTTAGAAAAAACGAACTCGTTGGATTAGATGGATAAGTGGCCTGCTTCAGTTTAAGATACTTTGAACATATATTTTTTTTCTTTAGGAAGAATACCTTATTTAGGATAAATACCTTGATATTATGGACATCATAGGAGATCCTGTGGTCAGTGACTCTGTCTTGGCTGAAATTATATGTGCGAATTCTCTCTGACTGGGCTCTTTCCCCTAGCTTGTAAAAGAACAGTTTGTTTCACAAATAATTTCACAAGTTATTAAAAAAATTAAAACATTTTATTCTGTCCCAATAGTTCAGTGTATCATTATTGATTAATGATACATAGTTGTACATTCTTTACATATGAACATTTAGTGTTTCTGTTGTATGAGAAATATTACTATAACCATTTTTGAAATTCCACTGTTATAATGGATTTTTTAGCATTAGTATTTACTTTGTAATATTTAATACAATAATTTTATGAGATGGATTGTAATTATTACCATTGCACAAAATTATGAAGCCACTCAACGGGCAAAATCCACATATCAGTGAACACAATGTTGCCCATGAGTATTAACACATGGGAAATGTGCAGTTACAATGAACCCAATGAGTTACAACAGCAAATGTTTCCGAACTGCATGAGGAACAGGAAGGCAAACACAGAGTGCAAGTGGGGATTGCAGAGTCTGGACTGCAAGCACATAAGACTCAAAAGAGCTGTCTAAGAACTTGACTGCCTGAAACTAGAAGGAAACTGGCTCCACTCTACACAGTAAAAAGAATAATTCTTCCAATTAGAACAGAAAAGAAAGAAGAGAAAGTATTGCTCTATGGTCAATAAGTCCAATCCATTGCTATAAATTCTGACTAGCTACAGCACTGCTCAAATCTCCCCCAGGGATCTCACAGAACACTTAGTCCAGGGGTCATTCCAGGAGCTGAATCTGGAGTATCAAGCATGCAACCACAAGCTCAGTGAAGACTAATGGTTGTTGTGGGTTTTTCGGGCTCTTTGGCCATGTTCTGAAGGTTGTTCTTCCTAACATTTCACCAGTCTCTGTGGCCGGCATCTTCAGAGGACAGCACTCTGTATATCAGTGAAGACTATTTATTATGCAACTTAATCACCACTATCCACAAAGATGATACTTCCGTTTTTGTTAATAGTTAAAAAGAGATAGGAGGGATTTTTTTTCTCACCTGCAGTTTTCTTGAAGTGTTCCTCTGGCTCAGCTCCCTCTCAATGGCCTGCTGGTGCAACTTCTTCTTCAGTGACTGTAGAGCAATTGCCTTATTCATATGCATAGATCGTTCCTGCTGGCACTCAACACTTAACCCTTCAGAAAGTGAAAAAGTATCCATCAGGCATCTCCTGAGTACGTTTTCTCACCTGAGCAGAATTACTGCTCTCGTCCTGTTAAGATGGAAAATTTGATATTCCAAGGAAGAAAAATGCCTACAGATGCTGTGAGATTTGGGCTGCCACCTTGTTTCTAATCCCGGTTTTAATTTTGATATCTGTTTGTTTTTTTAATATGGCATTTCTATTGTATTTTGAAACTGTTGATTGCTGTCTAGTTTTAGCTGCTGTGAGCTGCCATGGGTCTCCTATGGGAGAAAGGTAGGATATAAATAATAAAAACAAAGTCTCTTATTTTATATATTTTAAAAATTATCTAGTATTTTGTACAATTATCATACAGAAAAATAATCTACTGCAAATTCATAATTAAAATTATTTCTAGCTTTTGGAAAAATGTATTTAAAAACACATATAATAGGAATATAAAATTATTGACACCTAAAAGAAGGCTGCACTTCAGACCAAAGTAAACAGAATAAAGGAATATTTAGTTCATGTGCTGTTTCAGAGATGCCATTCCACAAAAATGTGATGCTCTCCATAACATTCTGTACACCCTAATGCAGAGGTCATCAACCCCCAGTCCACGGTCCAGTGCCGGACTGTGGCCTGAGCCAGACTGGGCCGCGGAGACAGACCTCTTGCCCCCCTGCAGGTACTCCCCTCCCCACAGCTGCTTTGTGCATGCGTGCCAGTATGAGCGCTCCCCCACCCCTTCACGCATGTGGGCGCACAGGCACTCCTGCACATGCGCAAAGGGGTGGGACAATGCTCATGGTGGTGCTGGCGCGCATGCTCCCCCACCTCTTTGCGCATGCGCCTGAGAGTGCGAGCGCTGGTGGCCCGCCTTCCTCAGAGGCTCAGCCGTTCCGTGGCCCCAAAAAGGTTGGGGACCACTTTCTGTGGCCCCAAAAAGGTTGGAGACCACTTCCCTAATGTATACCTTCTCTCTCTCTCTCTCTCACTCACACACAGTATACTTTCTCTCCCTCTCTCACTCACACACACATACACAATTTTAAAACACTTATATTAGTGGGAACTCAAGACACAGTTCCATAGCCCATGTACATGTCATAAAAACATGACATTGCAGATGATAGAGCTTGTTTTAGTTGCATTTTAAATTTTATTTGTTTAACATTGTGAATTGCTTGTCTCTCCTCATCAGGAGAAGGGTGGCCTACAAATGAGACAAAATAATTTTAAAAACACATAAAAATACAATACATATTTACATGTGCTGGAAAACCATTAAACCACTTAGGTGGAGATTATATATGGAGATCATGTGTACAAGGACCCCTTTATCCACGGGGGAACAGTTTCATGATCTACTAAAAATGCCTGAGATATACAACATACAAGGAGGAAGGGCAAAGGTCACAAGGCTCAACCCTTATGTGCTGTATAGAGGTTGTGGTAAACCACGGATAACTGATACAGGGGGTGGGAGTCCAACTCTACTTCTTTGTTGTAAAATGCAGACATGGGGATTATACGTACTATACTTACTTGCTGTAAAATTAATTTTAACATGTATTTCAGAGTCCCATTACATGTTTCTTGTCTCTTGAAAACCTCACCACTCTTTCTCTATAAAGAAAAAAATGATTTGTAGGAGTAAGGTTTCCCTTGACATTTAGTCCAGTTGTTTCCGACTCTAGGGGGCGGTGCTCATCCCCGTTTCCAAGCCGTAGAGCCAGCGTTTTGTCCGAAGACAGTTTCCGTGGTCATGTGGCCAGCGCGACTAGACACGGAACGCCGTTACCTCCCCACTGTGGTGGTACCTATTTATCTACTTGCATTTTACATGCTTTCAAACTGCTAGGTTGGCAGGAGCTGGGACAAGTAACGGGAGCTCACTTCATCATGTGGATTCGATCTTACGACTGTTGGTCTTCTGACCGTGCAGCACAGAGGCTACTGCGGTAGGAGTAGGCAATAGCAAATTCACATTATTTTTCCCCTTTTGCCAATTTCCCACAGTAGAATTCCATGCCTCTGAGCAGAGCAAGTAAGGAACCAAGATGAAAAAGTTTCATCCTCCAGAGTCATAGTGGATGAAGACTCTACATAGAAGTCAGCCTACATGTAAGATATTGTCACTTAAACAGTGGTAAACAACATCCCCTAAAGTTAGCCACCTGCCAAGCACAAGGCGCTCTTCCTACATGTGGGATGAGAAGCAGACCTGAGCTTCAGGATTAGAGGCAAACAGAACATGAAGTTCTGCCCTCAAAAACGTTTTAAGATAGAAACTATTTTTACAGAAAGATAGGAAATCCAGACAGATCCCCAGTTATGAATATCTTGTGTTAACAGAAGGGTTACATAATGAGAAAACAAAGGAAAAAAGAGCAATAAGCTCCTGATTTAATCTGAACCCCCCACATAAATATAATCCACATACTGTATGTACTTTTCAATGCGTCTAATAGTGGCTTTGTGTTTCCACTGGCAGGCAAAGACCTTTTTAAGGCAGGCTTTTAAATGATTCCGATAAAGTCAAGGTTTTAGGAATGCTGTATTTACTGATTTCATGAATTAAAAAAATATTTTTAGAAATATTTTTAATTGTCCTTTTAATACTGTTAGGTGTTTAATTTTTAAAAATATTTTATCTTACAGTGTTTTTAACTGTGTGATCATGAGCGACCTCAAGTCTCCTGTGAGGAGAAAGGCAGCAAATTAAACAAACAAACAAACAAACAGAGCTCTGTACATAACTTGTGTACAGGAAAATAAAAAGCTGAGGAAAACCAACACTTCATGGATAGTCTTAATTACAACAGGAGAGGAGCCTGCTGAGCCCAATGTAAGTCCTGCAAAGCTCCTTACCAGAAGGTCTGGCTAGAGACAGGAATGAGGAAATAAAAATGAAACAAAAATGACAATTTACCTGTAGGAATGTGTACAATTCGTACAGCACTATCTGTTTTGTTAACATGCTGTCCTCCTGCCCCTTTGGCTCGAAAAGTATCTACACGCAAATCGCCTGGGTCCACTTTTATCTTTACCTTTAAAAAGGAGAATAGTTAAACTAAATTGCATTATATGTCATTCTATGAGGCAATCTGTTGGGTTGAACGTGGCTAGTCACATACATTAATAAGCATAGGTGACTGCCTGGATGCTGCTCTTTACCTAAGTTTGCTTTTTAAAGTTCTAAATGTTTTTAATCAATTTGTATTTTAATTATTATTATGTTTTAATGGCTTTTTAATTGCTTTTGTGTTTTTAATTTTACTACCTTGAATCCCCTCATCGGGAGAGGGGTGCTCTACAAATAAGACAAAATAAAATAAAAATACATACAGAACTACTAACCACCTCCTTATGAATTGTGCCATTTATGGCATCTTGCCAGATGGAGTTATCATCAAGAAAACAAGCATTTTAATTATAATCTAATTTTTGAGAGTTAACTATCAAGAGTCAGAAACTGAAAACATTTAATGCTTAAAAGTTTCGCTTACCTCTTCAAGCTGAGGGAGGACAATAACTGACATGGTACCCGTGTGGATCCGCTGCATTCTTGCAGATAAACCAGTCTCAGGGATTCGCTGTACTCTATGAATACCTCCCTCGTATTTCAAATGCATGTACACATGGTCTCCAGAAATAAGAGCAGTGGCATGATGTAATCCACCTTTACAGGCAAACAACATACATTACATATTGGAAAAGGGGACAGAGGTAATTTTATTAAGTAATATGTATAGATGGTGGAAAAATAAGCTATGCCCATACCCTGGTCAGATGGAACATATTTCACAATCTCAAAGGCCCAGTTTTTGTAATCAGCATAATTCTGGTACATGTCTAATATTTCTTGGGTAAATTGCTGACATATGTCACCTGAAAAAGAACAAAACTCTGAATGAAAATGAAATTTTAGTATCTACATGACTTTCCAATTATCCCATACAGTATTCTATTAACAAAAATGCAATAATGTAAATTACTGGCTGAAATCCTCTTGCTTCATGTGTAGTAAGTTGCACAAGAGCAGGCCTATTCAATCAATGGGGATTTGGTGAGTCAACTCCTTTGTAAGCATTTTAATGTAGCAAGTCACAACTAGAGAAGGCCCATTTGAATCAATGGAACTAATAGAGAATTCACCAAATCTCCACTTATATAATGGGCTTACTCAAATACAGTATGAGTTACTATGCTAAACAACAGGATTTCAGCCATATTTCTGGAGCAAAGAGATTAAAGCACATCTCTGAAACATGTTCAGTAATAATTATCTGCTGTCCAGTCAATTTTGACTTACGGTAGCCTCTTCAAAGTTTTCTATGCAGAGAGTATTTAGAAGCAGTTTACTATTGCCTTCTTCGGGGGGGGGGGACTCTGGAACTGTGTAGCTGCCCAAGACAGCACAGGGGACAAGGCACGTAACCTCATGAACCACATATGAGCCAGGGGTGCAACTTACTTACTTAATTTATTTGTGTGTCTACCATGCCCAAGGCTAGTTCCATGTTCTTCATTCTTATATTTTGAATTGCCCCAATTCTCTCCAATAATACATTGATTCTTATCCCAGTGTATACTCCAGCCCTTTCTTAAACACATGTACCAAAAACAAGTTACATATTTGTTTAACATCATTACATTTTGTCATTCCTCTTCTAATCTTAATTTCACAAGTTAACTTATCATTGCCATACTCCATATTTCTCTATACCACTCCTCCATACTAATTTGATAATTACTTTTCTGTTTTTTGCAAATATTATAATATTTGCAAAAGACAGAAAACACTGTCACCATTATAATAATTAATTCCATTTCTTCACTCTTCAATTGATTATTATTAACCAGATTCAACAAAGTAATCATTGGAGACATTTGTAGATCCACACCATTTCTCTTATCTTCTTGAAAATCATTGTCCATTCCTTCTTCCTTATTTCACAAAGCCACCACATTTGCATATGTCCCCCCCCCTTTTTACATCTTCAACATAGTGAAGGTGTATTTTTATTTATTATAGTCAACTTTACCAGTGTTATATATCATCTCCAGACTACCTTGTAACAGTTTTCTTTTACTGTTTTTCGTTATCCTTTTATTCCACATTTTACTCCAAATTTCCTTTTTAATTTCCTCATTCAGATCTTCTTGCCATGAATCTTTAAGACTTTTTAATATGATGCCTCTATTTTATATATTGCACTTACTATTCTTTCTATTTTCTTTTCTTTATTCTCTTTTTTCCCTATAATCTCCTCAAATATTGTCATTATTCTGCCATCTTTTATTTTCCATTTGTTCATCGATTTTTTAGTTGAAGTATCTTTAACCATGAAATCCCTCCCCCAATATCTCTCTTATCTATTCCCTATCTTGCATTTGTTTTATCAATTCTTTTATCCTCATAACTCCCATAATCTTTTCCAAAACTCTTTTCAACTCTGGGAATTTCTTAAATTCTACAACCTGTGACAAAGATGAAGTTGGTGGACTTAACACTCCCCTATAATTTTCCAGCATTCTAACACTGTTTTGACAAAGGAACTAACTATCTATATTTTTCATCTCTCCCTTGATTTTCTCGTTAAAAATAAAATCTTCATCATTCCTTCTTTTCCATAAAATTCAAACTCCAAATTAATTATTTCTTGTTTGCTATTATATTATTCCTAAATTATTTTTTTAATATTTTGTATGTTACCGATAAAGGCTGAAGAAAAACAGTTAAAAGAACAGCAGGCCAAGATAATATGAATTGCAATGGTAATAAGAGAGCTAAAATTAATAAGCAAATATGGTATGTATCACAAAAAGAAGGTGGCTTAGGCATGCCCAGTATTAAATTATATTATACAACAAATCAATTGTGACATATTCCAGATAAAGAAAGACTTTAGAATAAAATATTGCACTACAAAAAGTTTAGGAAGTTTTGGGAAACCACAGCAATTTGAAACAACTTTTATTTGTTGAGACTTTGCTGACCTCCAGTTGTCCTGCCAGATATCAATTCCAATACAACATTACTTTCATCCCATTTTTCTCTGGGTATCAGGACCTGAAAAAGCTGAAAAAGAATAGATCAGAAGCTGTAAGGTAGTGAGAGAAGTGCTCTTTTGACTACATCTGTAAGTGATCTTCTAGGACTTTGAATTGCTGTGTAATTATTAAATAGAAATTGGCAGACATTTCTCAAAGCCACCATCACATAAGCACAGACAAGGCAACATTAATTCTTTTCAGACTGTTTGGGAGCATGCTCACACAAATAACTGACATTTGAATATAGAAACGTGACCCCAGTTTCCCATTTTTTAAAAAATTCCTGTTGTTTCTTCAAAACTAAGAAAGCATTAGAAGCTCCTTCTGCAACTGCAAACCAAAGGTTCCCATGTTGCAACCCAGTTGTTTTTTCCATTCAGATGCCCTTGCACTTCAAATATTTCCACATCTACTATATATCTCAGAAAGCATGGTTTCATTTCAAATTGACAATACAATATTAATATTTTAGATAATCTGCATCTACATCTCAGAACCATCCGCTTGTCCTCTCCAAAGCAGGCAGTTAGGAAAGGCCATGTCTGCTTATTTTCACCAGATAAGATCCTGAAAGTATGGGGCATTAATTCATTCACACAGATCCTCTCCCTCTATAAAAGTAATATTTTGCAGGAGATAGATGATCAGGAAAGGAAAACTAATCCTCAAACACAGATAACACAAGGTATTTGGATAAAAGGTGAGAACTCCTTTGCATGAGATACAATCTAAAGAACAAAAAAAAATTAGTATTGAACTGCTCCCTCATCCACAAACCTATGCTGCTGGAATGATCCTTGACATTTGTTTTAAAGGAGAATGGTAGAGCCAGCCTTTGTGTTGAAGCTGGGCCACCCTGACAAAAAGGGTCTAAATGAAAACATGACTAATGACCAACGTTCCTTCCAAATTTCTGTCCTGCTGTAAGGGAGCCTCGCTCCGTGTGTGCGGGGGCTTCATTCACAATGGGAGTAAGCAAACTGTCTCCCTGCTGCCCATAGTACTTACAGAACTAAAACATAACCAATTATTAATTGGGCTAGGATTGTTCTGGTAATAGTGAGTTCAATTTGCAGATTAAGAGTTAAACAGAAAAAAAGCATTTGGTCATAACTAGGACTCACAGCTTACAGTAGCTCTGTTTTTGCTATTTTCTTTCCAAACGTCATACACAGCCTTTCATCTATGCATGGAAAGTGCACATTTCCTTGCTCTATATTATTGCTATCTTGGGGGGAAAAAAACCAGACCCTATACAAGTATTTCCTCATCACTACTGTTTCCTGCTTGCCTACTAATGTTCTTTTTTTGTATATTATTGATGCACAGAAATGCAGCAATAAATATTATGGAATGCTGATTTGCTCTGTACCTCAAGACAATTCTAAAAACAGGGCACCCAAACAAAAAATTATAATGTTGAAACTGAACATTGGATAAGCACCAAATTTGGCATAGTTTTTTGAGTTATTATTTTTTAAAAAATAAAACTGTCCATATTCAGGCTGCCCTTTGCTGTGTAAAGCTTGGTACAGTGGTGCCTTGCTTAGCGATGTTAATTGGTTAAAAAAAACATTGCTATGGGAAAACATCGCTAAGCGAAACACTATTTCCCATAGGAATGCACTGAAAACCAGATAATCCGTTCCAATGGGAACGGATTACTGTCCTTAAGCTAAAATCGCCATAGGAAACATCGCTAAGCGAAACGCAGTTCCCCCACTGGAATGCACTGAATAGGTTTCAATGCATTTCAATGGTTTTGACAGGTCCATTTTCGCTATTTTTAAAGTGTCTTAAAATGTTCAAAAACTGTTTAAAATGCTTGGAATCGTTAGTGCACCCTGTAAAACCTTTGCA